TTTGTTGTTGTATGGCTCGGTTTCGCGAGATAACGGATGAGAAAAGGAATGGTTTTGTTCGTGCATTCTTCGTTTTCGGGAGATTTGTAGGCGTTTAGGACTATCTGCAGCTTTGTGATTTATATACATTGGGCATAATGCCATTTTGTCAACTTGGTGCTTCAGTTTTGAATTCACATCTATTGTTAGATTCATGTTTGTGTTCTGTAAGATCTGCTTATTCACACATTATTGTCAAATTCATGTTTGTTGATTTATGCAAAGCTTTTACAAACATTCAACTATGGGGTTCTTCGGCTACAAATGAAGAGTAAACCAAGAAATAAAAATAATTACACTAGAAGTTGATATACACACATCAATTGATTTTGCTGACTGAATTTTAGACAATAACAATGTAATTACAGACAAACTTATACACACCATCCACAATCTTCACCACGATGTTACAAACGAACAAATATGAACAGATACGAACAATGAATCAACATTTTGAACTGATACGAATCATCTTCCGGAAGAAAAACACCTGATGAAATGAAGCCCATAAGGCAAATCAAAATCATTCGACTGACTACCAGTTTTCCTTGACGATTCTCGATTTCTCCAAAATGAACTTCCCTTCCTTGTACTTCTGTGATTCCTCGTAAGCTTTCTCGTATTTCCAACCCAACACTTCACGGCAGTCGAAGCAATAAACATCAGCAACTTTATGAAGACCGGTCATGAGTTGCCTATCTTCCTTACGCCCCACATAGATGTTCATAGCGTGTGAGAATAAAAATGCTCGACCATTTCTACCCTGCCATTTATCACAAAAAACTCATCGTATTTTCTTCTTTAGCCTTTTCCTTGCAGATATGAGGACTTGTAACTAAGTTATTGAACTTCAGTAGCAAAAAAAAAACGAGCAACCGATAAACAATTTTTGAAATTACGTAAATTCTTTATAAGTTGCTAAAAATTAGAAAACCAAGCACAAATGGCCTTAAATTCTTTACAGAGGACTTCGAACCAAGAAAATAACACGACCAACTTTCATCCCTCGAAACCAAATCAACTGAGTCTGAGAACAAATGGCCTTAAAACCTCACCTGAAATGCTTTAGAGATGATATCATCATGAAGGGCAACATAGTTTCTACAATTGCAGCAACTGTACAATCTTGGACCGATCATTTCAGCCATTCGATGGTTCCAAATTCAGACAACACAAATAGAAACAAGCAGCTGCTTGAAATCGATGTTATCTATATGGTGAAAAGAAACAAAATAAATAATGAACTTATACATGTGATCCTTCTAAATAACTCAACTGTAAGCAGTACCATAAAGACTAAAAGAGTTACACCTTTATTCCCAAGATCAAGAAAGTCAACAATGATCCAACTATCTGTACAAAATGGATGAGATTTTCCTGAGAAATGAACACATTAAGACATGATTGAGCAAAACCCAGAAAACATCTGGTAAGAAAATGACAAAAAGAAAAAAAAAAAATAATGATAACAATAATTCAGCTGAAAAAAACAAGTAAATACAAGAGACACTTAAAAGACTAAAAATCAAGAATCTCCGAATCTGTTTGCCTGTATTGAAGAAATTTCAATGTAATTCTGACTCACCTGATCACGCCTTCATATATATTAAACAGTTTGATAACAGTGTGTGCGGTGCGCGAGTGAGAAAAGTGAGGAGGTTTTTCTGTGCGTAGAAAATGGATTCGTGTCGGCCTCCGAACGGTGATTTTGCGAACTGTTGAGAACACGTGAAAAAACAAAAAAGGAGTTTTTTTTTAATAGCTTTTGCAGTGTTCGGGAGCATCAACAAAACATCAATTTAAGAAGATCTCTGGTTGAATTGAAAGAATAGGGTGATTATATTTGGTGTTGTAGATAAGAAATTGATTAAGTTGGGAATTCAGTTTCACAATAATCTATCATAATAAACCTTGTATTGTGTAAGTAAGCCGAGCATTCGCTGCGTGTTGACTGTTGAGTTGTGTTAAAAGAGTTGGGAAACTATGTAAAAAATTGAGCCTTAACCATAGCTCTAAGGAGTTGTTCGTTACATTTCTTATCTATTTGTGGCCCTTCCTAATAAGTTTTCAATTAGACTGCCTAATAATTTGAATTAGATCACCATACCATACAAACATGTATACCTTCACATTTCATAAAAATGTCATATTTTAAATTAAGATATAAAAAAAAATGTCATTTCATAATAAAAGTATTTACAATTAATAAGTTCCTTTTTTTTTCCTTTCGAAAACCTCAACAGAACCCTTGGGCACAAACACAGTCGGCACTGCCCAGCAATTCAAAACCAGAGCTTTCCGAAAGCTAAAGTCTCAATTGAGAAAATCAATGGAGGGCCCATCTTCAGAAGCCAATGAAGATCCATTGACAGCGATAAAGGAGACGAGGCAGCAGCTGGAATCCCGTGTGGACACCCTCCACACTGCGCAGCTGGACCTCATCTCCTCCCTCCAATCCGTCGTCCCGGACCTCGTCTCCTCCCTCGACCTCTCCCTCCACGCCATCTCCATTTTCAACCACAAACCCTTCACTCCCCTCGCCCAAATCCTACCCTCGAGTCCCTCTCAGCCCAAGGCCCGTATCCCCAAATTGCCCCTCGACAACCCCAAAATCCCAGCAGCCGTCTCCCGGCCCTCCCCTCGAGTGAACGAGCGGGCCCTGATCGAGGAGATCGGGGGCCCTCTACCGATCGTCCGGTCTATGGTGGCCGTGTGCCTACTGGAGAGGGTCCCTTTCAACCCTATTGATTCCTCGACGGTGCTTAGGAAGCTGGAGAACGACCGTTCGGCCACGGCGGCCGGGAGGGCGGCGCTGAGGGAGCTGGGCGGGGAGTCCGGACCCATTACAGCAGTGGAGATGGCGCTGAGATCCATGGCCGAGGACAGCGGAGGGGTCGAGCTGGAGGAGTTTGTGGTGAGTGGCAAGTCAAGGTTGATGGTCATGAACATCGATCGGGCTAGGGTTATCAAGGAGCTGCTGGAGGCCAAGCAGATGAACGAGGCTGTGGGCCCGGGAGAAAGGAGCAGGCCCGGTGAGGCCGCCTCAGGGAAAGGTGTGGCCATTGGGATGTTTGGGCCGAGGGGCGTGGGGGGAATGGTGGGGGTGCCGAGGGGTGTGGGGGTCCCACCCCCCATGCACAGGCAGATTATGCCGCCAGTGAAGCCCAGAACGGAGGAAGATGACATGAAGGATCTGGAGGCTTTGTTGAACAAGAAAAGTTTCAGGGAGATGCAAAAGTCGAAGACGGGTGAGGAGCTTCTGGACCTCATACACCGGCCTACGGCCAAAGAAACTGCTGTGGCAGCTAAGGTGCGTGTTTGGTCGAAGTTTAGTTGCTTGCTTTAACAACTAGTTGATTTGCTTGGCGCTTGTTTTGTTTTGTTTTGGATTGGGATTGTAAGTTGTAGGTGGTAATATTTTCGGAAAGTGGGAAATATCTTATTGCCATTAAGAAGTATGTTTCTAGTTTTCTTCACTGTTGAGATTGGGGACTAAGTGTTTCTCTTTGATTTGTTATATGTCATGTGAAACTTACCTTTGATGTGTGAGTTCTTATGTTGGTGGTGTGAAGTTTTGAATTATGTTGTTTTTGGGCATCATTATTTCCTGTTTTTTGGTGGAAGATACTTATGATGTTATTCTAATAAGCCATGTCATTACTGCTGTGTTGTATTAGTTTAAAAGCAAAGGCGGTTCACAAGTGAAAGAATACTGCTCGTCTTTAACAAAAGAAGATTGTCGACGTCAATCTGGTTCCTTCATTGCTTGTGATAAGGTGAGTCTATGGCTAATTTTGTATTGTTATATATTATTAGTGATTGAGGAGGACTTTTCTCTTATTAAAATTGATGATAGTAAGTATATGCTCTTTTCACTAGAAAAGATGGTAAAAAGATTGGTTGTTTTGTTGTGATACATATTACTCCTGTTTGGTAATATTTGTCTAAATTCTTTCGCTTGTCTTAGGTTCATTTTCGGCGCATAATTGCCGCACATACAGATATGAATTTGGGGGACTGTTCATTTCTTGACACCTGCCGTCACATGAAGGTAATCAAACATAATATTCCCTTTCCCTCCTACAATATTATTATTTTTATTTTTTTCGTTGTTTATTTATTTTCGTATGGGAACAAAAATATTAATACTCAGTATCTGGACAGACATGCAAGTACGTACATTATGAGCTCGACTCAACTACTGATGTGTCACCTATGATTATGGGGCAAGCTACTTTACCTCCACCGAAACCATTGAAGCCCCAAAGTGCTCACTATTGCTCGGAAGTCGAGCTTGGAGAACCACAGTGGATCAACTGTGACATACGTTCGTTTAGAATGGACATATTAGGGCAATTCGGGGTTATTATGGCCGATCCACCTTGGGATATTCATATGGAATTACCTTATGGAACTATGGCTGATGACGAAATGCGAACTCTGAACGTTCCTGCATTACAGACTGACGGTCTTATATTCCTTTGGGTCACTGGACGTGCAATGGAGCTTGGACGTGAATGGTATGCCTCTTTCAGGAAAGATATTAAAATTTTATTTTTTTCTTTAAGAAACATACAAATTGTACATGTCATGACTGGCTTCTGTATTAAAGAAAGTTATCTGAGTTTGCGATAACTGATATTTGATAGATATCCAGCAGAGATCATTTAGAATCCTGAACTGTGGTACTGTCACATAAAGAGATCGACAGATCTTTTGGTGCTGACTGAAGTGAAAGTTAATATTAACTTTCGATCATTTTGATCGACAGTTAATATTCTCTTACGAATAAAAGATTTATGTTCACACATGGTCTTTTAACATGATATGGTTTGGGCAGCTTGGAGCATTGGGGTTACAAGCGTGTGGAGGAAATAATATGGGTGAAGACCAATCAACTTCAGAGGATCATAAGAACGGGCCGGACGGGCCATTGGCTCAACCACAGCAAAGAGCATTGCCTTGTTGGAGTGAAGGGAAATCCTGAAGTCAATAGAAATATCGACACTGATGTCATTGTGGCTGAAGTTCGTGAAACGAGCCGGAAACCGGATGAGGTCAGTTGGCTTTTTTCACACCTCTTCATTAAACACAATTAGGGAAGTGAAGGAATGAATATCTACGACTTGGTTAATTTTTAATTTTTTTACCCTGGTAATTATTCCTCAAGTCACACATTTTTAATCCTTAACTATCAAAATTTGAACGTTACCACCATCCCCTAGGCAATACAGTGTTTGATTAAAGTTAAGTGATATGTTATATTTCACCTTATTTTTGGAAAAGAAAAAAGAATTAAGAAAAATTCATGGTAAACCTTCGAGCCGACTAAATTATTCTGAAAGAATTGCACTATGTGTTGTAGATGTATGCCATGCTGGAACGGATAAGTCCAAGGACAAGAAAGCTGGAGTTGTTTGCAAGGATGCACAACGTGCAGGCTGGGTATGCTTTTCTTAATTACCATCTACATGTTTTGGCCCAGTTATTGCTGGGGAGCATTAAATGATTAGACACTTCGAAATTTATGCATTTTAGAATAAATAGCGCCAGTTGTTAAAAGGTAAAGGCGGTAAAGGCTGAGCGTACAACTGCGTAATATAACTTTTTATCTTTGTGAAAAGAAAAATCTAAGACAAAGAAATAGAATAAAATAGAAGGAGTACTATGCATAACAACATTAATGAATGACTTTGTGGTTATAATGTTTTTGTCAAATATGCCCTCCTCGCACTCGGAGATCGAATATCTAAACAGCCGATCATCGATTATTTTTATTAGCTTCTGAAAAAAAAAGGTGTTTGGCGTGCGTGCCAGGTGGCTATCATTGGGTAACCAACTGCAAGGAGTACGGTTGGTAGATGAAGGGCTGAGAGCAAGATTTAAGGCGGCTTATCCTGATGTGGATGTGCAGCCATCATCACCACCAAGAACAGCTGCCATGGATGATAATACTGTAGAAGCAAAAGTGGCTAGTGCAGATGGAGAGATGACTAGCTAAGTCTGTGTTAGCTCGTAACTAACTTTTATTACGCATCATTTATGTAATCACCTGTCTTAACTACTTTGTTCAATTTATGTTTTAGGTTGGATGTTTTCATTTTGCTCATTCGATCTTTTGTATTCAGGTGAAATTCTCTTGTTGGTAGGTTGTTTCTTGCCTTAGGTGGATGCATGCTTATTGCTTAATGTTGGCTTATGCTGTATCAGCATGTACAAAAATTGCTTTTAGTGTCTTCCATGGGTTAAAGTTTAAACCAACTCTTGTATCTTGTGAGGGAAAAAAATTGGAAATTATGGGTGTGCCTGAATATGCTTTTGTTAGAATTCTTTTATTTCACTACTGGAGAAGTTTTGGAAAAAATAATTTATTTGAAAACTATGACTGATGATAAGATGAAAATAGAATAATTAAAATTAATGTGATGTAAGAATACTAAATAACAAATAGTAGTTAGAAATATGTCAGTTGATGAATGGTATTTTTTGTTACAATTTTTTAATAATAATAATCATTTTTTTTTGTAAGATTACTGTATTAAGATTGAAATAGGAATAAAGTTAATGAGTGAATAGTATATCTATCTACATTTTTATTATTTTTTTGCTTTCACTGACATGAAAATGTTCTTTGTTTCTTATTATGAATGCCAAGTTTTGTCTAAAATTGTGTCCAGCTGCATAACCCATACGACAACTCCAGTTATTTAATCAGAATTAACTCCACTCCAGTTATTCTGGACTATCAGAATCAGAAACCATTTCTCTGGTTACTAATCAAAGGAAATGAATTAAGAAAATTTCAAAAATTTTAGCTCGATGTCATTTGCTATCCAGCTGCCTCTAGATCTCGACAATGATGTCAAAATTCTCAATGGACATGTCATCGAATGCATTTTTTTTCTCTTTTTTCTTGAAAAAAAATATCTATGAAACCTTAATTTTCTCAGTAAGCAAAATCATTTAAGATGAAAATATATATTCTACAGTCCAACTGCTGTTCAATTTTCTTGTCAATCCACTCGTTCTGGAGATCAGACAAAAAAGTAAAGAATTTCAGGCAAATGATTGTGAAATTAATTTCAACTAAGAGGCTTTAAACCATCAAAATTCTGATGATACTGCTGCTGCTTGTGGTCAGAGTCTGAGTGCAGCTTTAGCCATTGCAAGTGCGCCCTCGAACGTTCTATTCCCACCAATGAATCCGCTCATGTGCACAAAAACCCCATCAGGAATTCCCGACTCATTAGACAGCTCATCATCCCTCAGACCACGCCACTTGGCAGGGAGCGACTTTCGGCTCTCAAATCTATCAGGCGCTATAGCCACTGCCTGGACTCGCCAACTTTTGCTACGTTCATCCTGAAAACATTTTCACCGGACAACATTGATAAGCTTTACATGATTGCATGGTGAGTGTGTAAGGAGAGGAGATGCAGATTAATTGAATGATTTTTACCTGATAAATCACATATTTGATAGGTGGGTTAATCTTCAACTCTTCCTCAAGCTCGAACAAGTGAAGCTTCCACTGATGAGATAGGATAGCATAATAAATACTAGGGAGGTAAAATAAGTGAACTTTAAATTCCTCAGGAAAAAAGATTTAAGGGAAAGAAAAAAGATTCACCGGGCAAAATTTGTTGAGGACCATAATTTCTCCACTGGGATCAACATTCAGCCTCGTTTCAAGACAATCAATCACAATTGACCGAGCAGGTAGCCATGATCTTGCATGACTGCGCACATTCTACAATAATAATAATATTGATGGTCATAACTTCTAATTCTAATTCTAACAAACTAACCTTCACAATACAATCAAAACAGAAGTCATTCCCATCATTTTTACAACTTCATCAAAAAAAGACCTCGGGGTTAAAAGAATTCAAAGTCATTTTGTTGATCCAAAACTAAAACATTCAGATTAAACCAGCTTCAGAAGAGAAGTTAATAAAAATACATAAATAAGAAAAGAATAGCACTCAAATGTGGTTGAATGAACGAACTTACATCCAAAAACTCTCTCCCAGCAAGAGCCATTGCTCTTTCAAAGGCCTCATTTTCCTTCTCAGAAGACTGATCAGGATCTGTCCAATCCAAATTCAGTTTTCCAACACGTAAAGACAAGTGTGTATTGTTTACATATCTTGGCGGCTGGTCAGTATCATACTGATTGATTCCATTGTCAATGGCATCAATTGCCTGTTATCAATATGTAAAACAAGACTAGTCCGATGAAGCAATGGAAAGCTTGCGAATTTCAGTTATCTAATGGCCGGAGAAAATTTTTAATGCATAGTCAAAGAAAGGTATGGTCTAAAAAATGAAGACTTTGCCAGATATAGACACTGGGATTTTACAAGCAGCTACAAGTTAATCCCAAAATATTTGACGTCATTGGGTGCTACAGGCATGCACAATTAAACTACACGATCCAGAACAATTTTAGGAGACTAAATTTTAGACAAGATTGCACCAGAAATGTCGCGGAACTCAATAAACTGATAGTTCGGGCACGAATAAGCTTCGGCCGAGTTTTTCTAGGTGAAATTGCAACCTCATTTTGGCAAAAATCTTGTCTTACCCAAAGAAATCAACAGTTCACTAGACTAACACTGGTGCTCGTACAGCAAACAACATCACTAATAATTTATCCAATACATGAGGAAACAGAAAACTGTTCAAAAATAAATAAACAAAGCATTCTGCTTAGGAAAAAGCAAACTACCTCCATGAAGCTCTTATAAATCACAAGAAACAATCGGTGCACATCTGGGTGCTCTTGATCCACTTGAAGCTCCTTCGCTATGATCTCCTTACCAAAATGCTACACATTAAATGGAAAAAATTACCTTCTTA